CAAAAAATTTAGACTGGGCTGGAGCCCGGGTGAGCCACCCCCTGGCTCCGCCCCTGATTACCATTATATTTTTTAAAGTTCAATTAAAGATCTATAAGCTTTTTCCTTCCCAAAAAAAAAAGATCTATAAGCTTTTTAATTTTTTTTATATAAATTATACTCCATAATATATAAAGTAAATTAAAAATACAGATTAGGTTTACATTTTTTTTTTGTCTCTGTACTTGCTCTCTCGCAACCGCAAGTGCCCACTTCTCTGTCTCTCACGCCAGTCGGTTATCTTCTCACGCCCGTCGCCTCTCCTCTCCTTTCCACAGTCTTCCCGCCCGTCACCTGTCCTCACTCTTCAAGCCCGTCGCCTCTCCTCAATCCTCACGCCCGTCGCACTCCGGCGTCTCAACACCCTCTCTTCACCTCCGAAGTCCGCCACAAAAGCTCCGGCTGCTCCGCGCCTCCGCCTCGATGTATTGCCTCTGAATCGACTCCACTGGCAGATTCTAATGGTAATTACAATTTTTTTTTTTAAAAAAAAAATGGTTTATGTTAAGAACTTAAGATGATGTAAAAAACTTAAATATTTTTCTTAAAATTGAAATATATTTCTTTTGAATTGTGATTTGAATTGTTGTTGTGCTGTTAATTTCATGTTCACAACGAAGCTATCTTCATAACATGAAACTTGAATATATTTGAATTGCTGTTGTGTTGTTAATTGTTGTTGTGTTGTGCTATTATTTTCATAAACAGCCTCAATTATTAGAACACATATCCTTCTGAAAACTAATAACCATAAAAGTTCGGGTACAGGTCGAGGTGGGCCAACCCGCCCCGAATCGGGTCAGGAAACAGACAAAATTAAACAATTTGTGATAATGTGGGAGTAATGGGTTCTTGAGGGTATTTCCATATGTGCTGAAAAATGTATATGGTAATTTCTATCAAGGGTCCTGTTTTTTCCAGATTTTGGAGTTTTTTACAGAAGTTCTTGTATTTGTGGTTACATATTCATTTAATTTCGAAGTTATATTGCTTGGAATTCACTGCTCAACATGTCTTGTTTGATTACTCACATTTTAACTTAGTGGACAATCAATTCTTATTGAGATAGTGATGCTATTTTTTATAGACTTCTAGTTTTCCTGTTAGTCATTCTCTTATGTAACCTAAATAAGCACCATGACATTAATCTTATGTAACCTTATAAGCACCATGACATTAATATATAAATGATAAATGACATATAATAATATATTAGGAACATAGCCTTTCATTTATTTTGCTTTTGTGACCCGTTTTCAGCATTTACACGTCATTGCTACTAAATAATTTGGAATAATTACTCAAGAGCATTTATTATATAATTTTTTAGTTGTATTTTTTTTTTTTTTAAATTGTAACATGTCTTTTGATAGCGTGACTGTAACTCACGAAGTATATGTTGTAACAATCATCATCAACGCAGTATATTCCCAACCGACTACGTGGTTGTGGAGATGGCTTGAAGCTCCTTTCTAAAAGGGGACAGGGAGTCAGTGAGGAGCTGCGAAAAGAAAATGAAGAATTAAAGAAACAAAGTGAAGAGATGGCTTCACGGTTGCAGTCCTTGGAAACTCAACTGAGCAATCAAGAAATTCAAGTGCAAACTCAAGTTGCAGCTCAAGTGCAAGATATTCTTAGGTCCAGCTTCTCACAATGCTTTAAAATCTTGGCCACACAAGCCAACTTCCAACATCTTAATGTAAGTATATCTTTATATGAATGCCTTATTTTATTGTTGGTGATTACTGTTGTCCATTACGTTAAAACTTCAAACCTTTCAAGTTGATATTCTTCTATGAGAATCTGAAATGTGCTTGTACCAAGTTTGATACCAAATTTTCAACTCCAAAATTATTTTATAATGCTGCCAGCTTTAGGTTAAGTTCAAGATTCATGCTTCGAAAGTTTGACAATATTTAGATCTTGTTAGTGATTGTTGTCAATCTTCGTAAAACGTGATCAGACTTTGTTTGTTCGTTTGAGTAGAGGACTCTTAATACTGACTACATTATGTTGTGGTTTGACAAGTCATATACTTTTTTTATCAGTGATAAGTGATAAGTCATATCACTGATAAGTCATAAGTCAAATATATTTGTATATGCAATGGGTTAATAATGAGCATTAAGGAGTGTTTTTTAGTTGCTTAATATTTATCATTCTTGTAAGTAACCAAGCATGTTAAATGTATCATTAACTATATGGAAATGTGTTTAAGTCACTAATGGGGCATGAAGTTATGATATATAGCTGGAAGTGAAACTGTGATAAACATTTGTTGCTATGATGCTATTGTCGTAATCATGCTTTTTTATTATATTTTATTGATTTTTCATTCATTGTAGGTGTCGAGGTGTCAAGAACATTCTCCCACAAAGACCGATCTAGACTCCTGGAGAGAGCCGACCGACCGAGCTTTTATTTATTTTTTAATCGTTATACTTTGTTTATGTATATTTTGGATTATATTTTTATCTCTCAACTCTTTATCTTAGAAATTTGTTTTATCTTGCATTGCATCTAAGGAGAAAATTATGTACTGAATTACTATATTTAATTTAAAGACTTGTTATGAGTTGGGGTTTAAGATAAGCAGTATACATATATGTACAATAAATAAAATGAAAAAAATGCATTTTGCTTTTAAAAAAAGAGTAGCACGCCATATAATTCTTAATTACAATAATTATAATAATATATTTTGTCATGACCAATAAAATAATTTAGTGACACTGTTTTGAGACTAAAGTAATTTTCTTTAAGTGACAAAAACTAATGATAACTAAACAAGGTTTGTATGTCACTATTTTATTACATTCTAGTGATAATAACGTAATGTGACTAGAACATAAAGTTGTAGTGACGTATTTGTGCATCACTAAAGCAACAGTTATAATGATGAAAAATATATGTGACTATAGCATCGAGATTTTGTGACCAAAATTATTTGTGACTAAATCATGGATTTCTAGTGATAAAAATTACATGTCACAAAAGGCCTATGTTAGTGATAAAAATTTTATGTCACAAAAGGCCGTCGGGTAGTGATAAATACCAAAAAT